GGAAGCGATCGCAACTGGAGTAACATGCTGTTTTTCTTGAAGGTTCTTTTTGTTGCTACTTCCTGGGACTGACCTCTCCCCCACGAGCACACTGGAGGTGACAACAGAACAGTTCTGTGCAGCCACCAGAGCTGTGCCCTGCTCTACCCCTCAGATGCTATTCCAAGATGACAATGCCAGCAGGATCCCTGGAGCTGGGCACCAGATTGTCCTGTGACTCCAGGCTTCCAAGGGCCAACGCTGCTGGTCACTCTGGCTCCAGCGTCTCCCAGAATGAGCTCCTAGAGGACCCTCTGCTCTTTCGTTCTTCCTCACTCTCAGGAGGTTGCACCCACGGCAGGGCTTGTGTCCGTCCCAGAGATCAGAATCTCAGCTGCTCTTCTCTTTTCGGTGGAGACAAGGCCATGGGCCACTGCTGCTGGATTCCGGCTTCTCACACTACATCTCCCTATCACCGTGGATGCACGTCACTTGCAAGCACCTCCTGTCATTTTCATCTGGGGAGGAGTCACTCCCTCTGCAGACCTGATGCTACAGGAACACAACTATCCTCCCATCTCCTACATTCCACGGCAGTATTTCACTTACTAACATCGTGTGCGTATCACAGAAAGCAACTACAGCAGAGTCAGTACAGTGGAAGGTTGCCCCATAAACAATTTGTCAAATTAAAAAATAGGTGGAGGCCAGGCACGGTGGCTCACGCCTGTAATCCCAGCACTTTGGGAGGCTGAGGCAGGCGGATCACTTGAGGTCAGGAGTTCGAGACCAGCATGGCGAACATGGTGAAACTCCATCTCCACAAAAAAATTAGCTGGGTGTTGTGGTACGCACCTGTAATCCCAGCTGCTCAGGAGGCTGAGGCAGAATTGCTTGAGCCCAGGAGGCAGGGGTTGCAGCAAGCCAAGATCGATCATGCCACTGCACTCCAGCCTGGGCAACAGAAAGCGACTCCATCTCAAAAAAAAAAAAAGTAGGTGGGTTTTCACCAGAAATTTGTGTTGTCTTCCTAGGAGATAACAAAGTTCATGTGGAAACCCACCAAGTTGTTTATTAACTGGATTCAAATTTCTTTACAGTAACTTGTTTCTCTCCTTAAAATGGAGCTACAAGATTTTGGCAAGGAAAGTAAATTTCAGGGGAACTAGTTTGGCCTTTTCTATTAGCTGACCTCACGTTATAGTAGTAAAATATGGCCACACCCCTAACTAAGAAATGGGGCTAGGCCAGGTGCGGAGGTTCACACCTGTAATCACAGCACTTTGGGTGGCCAATCCAGGCAAATCACCTGAGGTCAGAGGTGTAAACTAGCCTGGCCACATGGTGAAACCCTGCGCTACTCAAAAATACAAAACAGCTGAGATGGTGGCACGTGCCGTAATCCCAGCTACGTCAGGAGACTAGCCAGGCAGGAGATCCTGTGACCCAGGAGGGTGGGAGGTGTGCAGTGAGCCAAGCAAATCGTGGCCATTGTACTCCGGCCTGGGCCAAGGAGTGAGGACTCTGTCTTCAAAAAAAAAAAAAAAAGCAAACAAAGCAACTGGCAGCATAATACAACGTCCAAGGGAACATAAAACCTGAGGGTCCTGGAACAGCTGCGGGAGGGCCGGCCACTCCCTGCTATCCCTCCACGGCTTCTGTCCACCTACTCTAGGCCAAAAGTGCGCGGCCTCGGTTGCCATCCAGCTCTCAGGGGTCACGTATGCTGGGCAGTCTTGTGACCACCTTGTTCCTACTGCAGGACACAAACAGTTTGACGACAGCAGGTAATTTCCTGGTTTGTATAACACTTTGGATTTCTTAGATTTAAAAAAAGAACAGCTAGCTTCTTTAAAACACAGTGGCAGTGCTCATCGCCTGTAAATCCCCAGCGCTTTGGGAGGCCAGGCGGCGTGGATCGCTGAGCGCCAGGGAGCTGAGGACAGCCCGCCAACACAATAAACCCCGTCACTATTAAGAAAAAAAAAAAAAAAAAAAGCTACAAATTCCGCTTCTCACAATGTTGTCATTTCGGAAAACTCCAAAAGAAAAATCAGGATTTTTCCTAAGAACCTTACTTTGGAACAGGAACATTTTCTCTTTGTTTTTTTCTTTTGGGATACTGAGACTCTCTCTCTGCTTGCCAGGCTGGAGTTAAGTGGCGCTATCCTGGCTCACGTAACTCCCCTATCCCGCGGTTCAAGCGATTCCCTATGCCTCAGCCTCCCGAGTAGCTGCGGCATTACAGGCATGTGCCAACGCGCAGCCAGCTAAAGTTTATGATATTTGGGGTAGAGACAGGGTTTTCCCCATGTGGGCACAGGCTGGTCTCAAACTCCTGCACCTCAAGATCTGCCGACTTTGGCCGCGCCCAAATCTAAATTACACGGCATGAGCTACTTAGGTACACACTTTTCATCTTCTTTTTTTTTTTTTTGAAATCTCTTCATACCAA